TAAATAAGTTACGTCTACTCTACAACAACAACACACACACACACACACACACACACACACACACACACACACTTACACACAAAATAATGGTGATCCAAAATTCGTGGGGGTGACATGTCCCCCTGTTCCCCCTGGATTTGCGCCCCTGTTGCACAGCAATGACATGGATGTGATTGGTTGAAAACTGTTTTGACATGCCCAGTACAATTGCGTTTTCTGCGAGCAAACGGACTGCTGTAATGTTGCATGCAATGACCAGCAAATGGTAGAACTGCAACTGAGGTGTAAAGACGGCATTTGGTGGAGATGCCGTAGAGTGAAAAACATTCCTGCAGAATCTGAATAATTTAACTGATATACTTCTGAACAAGATTTGAAGAATTGTCGAAAAGCACTAGTGTGGACTGAACTAACTTGTGCGCTGCAAGCAATACTTCGTTCTAAAATATTGTTATTGAAGATCGACGAGTCCGACTTAGGATGTGCGGAGGGTCATACGGCCACCTCTACCTTAAAAATTACTTTATCGTGTTATATATGATATGAGTGAACATTCATCAAATAAATGTATATTCGCAACATGAATCGAATTTAAAAAAGTTATGACTTCACTGGTGATTTAATGAAACAAAATACACATTCATAAATGTCTGCTATGAAATTGTTGTTACTCAAAATAACACAAGTTGTTGCTGTTGTCGACTATTTGCTTTTGTTATCAATGACTTACAACGAAGCATTCGCTGTGACTAATTATAGCGCATTTAATGTCTGGATATCAATATATGCTGTAGTAGAATATACACACCTTATAGCGGATAGCATTGATGAATGCTATCACATATATACATGGTGGAACGCGCCGACCCCACCGAACCGTAAGCGGCACGGATATTCGTGCTAATATGTGGTCGGCAATGCCAGTGATGTTTGATGTATGATTGTTGTGAAATGCAAAACCGCCAATTAACAATTTGTTTATGCTATGTAGGAATTAGCATTTACCTGTGGTGCATTCGGTTTACTTGCGACCACATCTTTTCTACGGGTTTTGTGTGCGCTCCGGCGACAGGGTCGATGGAATTGCGGCTATGGTTGACTGTTAGGTGGGCGTACCCAGCATTGATGTTTCCTAGCTGGTGGTACGCCCTCCATTCGTCGCTCATAACCGCCGCTCCACCACTGCAGACTAAAAACTGTGATTAATTATTGTTGTTCGACATATAAATGATTAGCAGGTAAATACAAAATTACCACGGTTGCAAACTATTACCTAATTGTAAAATTCCTATACTATACACATACATGCAATATTATACAAAATCACATTTATTAATTTTTAACGAATCATAGATGAGTGTTATGAAAACTGTATATTAGCGTACGTGCTGCAGAGAAAAAGCGGGGAAAAAGCGTGGCCGCATCCCTGGTGGCAACGTGCGACAGGAACCCTTCTTTGGTGACGCGGACGACACCGCCGAAGACCCACTATATATATA